ATCCTATTTCGAAGTTAGGTATACCTCAGTGTATTAAAATAAAATTGTTGGTATATCTAGTCACAAGAATACAAAAATCATTGAGACATTAAATTATTACTCCACTAAATACAGATACTGAAAAAGCTTAGTATAGTCTGCCATAAGGTCATGACAGTTGGAAACCCATGAATTTCAAATTCATTAACACTAGCGTCGAACTTACCTTCTATTTTGTGGCAGGCAACTAAAACAATTTACTAACTTTGTAGCAGAGTCAGGCACAAGGCAAAAATAGTTCTGCACCCACTTGAATTCACTATTATTTGGAGGAACAAGCGAGACTGCATTGTTCATAGAATCATACAAAGGGATGCTATAATGAATAAAATAGAACCGGAATGGGGTTACAGGAAATCGTTTGCAAGATAAGTATAGTAACCGTTGCTATATGTCAGGCGTATTGTCAGTAACTCGTATATGAAATTTTGTCTGTCAACCTGGATATTCGAGAAATGTACTCCCCGGCAGGAATCAAACATGCGTAATAGAGGTAATATACACAGTTTAAAGTAACAATAAAAAAGGGGCGTTTATTTCAAATTCGAGTATCCATTATAATAACGTGTGAAGTAATAAAATGTCAGATTAAAAAGAAGTTCATTAATTCTTATATATGTGTGTGTGTGTGTGTGTGTGTGTGTGTGTGTGTGTGTGTGTGTGTGTGTGCGAACGCGCGTAGTTGTTTTTAAATTAGATATTTCCAAAATAATTTACAAATAAAATTTACAAAACTAGAATTTTCTTTAAGAAAAGAAGACGTATATACAGGGGGATTTAGATAGATAGATAGATAGATAGATAGATAGATAGATAGATAGATAGATAGATAGATAGATATGAACAGACAGACATAGCTAGCTCGCTAGGTAGATAGATTAGAAATTCGGTGTAAAATTAAACCGACAATTGGAATCCGTATCCATTGCATTACATTTGGATTTTTACAAAATACTGATTCAGAACACTTTATTTTTAAACCATTGAAGAGACATTGTTAAACTAAAATACTGACAATCTGATTATGAAATATGTCGACTAAGTTACAATATTTGATATGATACAGCGAGGGTCTCGCTATTTGTTTTCTTAAATATTTGGAATTTCACTTATTTGAGTTTCATTTGTGCCAGTGCTAAAATTAAATTATGAGAATCAACTTTTTTTCTCCAAATATTTCCCGCTCTACAATTTTAGCGTGAAGATGTACGCATGCGTGCACGCGCACACGTCGATTGTCTTGAAGGCACATACGGTTGGGTGTTGTATGTACTGGAAGGTGGTGTTCGCACATACAATGTATAGAGCTTTGAAATAAAAATATGTTCACGAGTAATCATGCCCAGCCATGTATTTATAAGCTATGCAATACCAACGCACAATGTAATACATGTTTTACATAATACATGTTTTACATAATACATGTTTTACATAATACATGTTTTGTTTTACAAGACATTTTCTCTGAACTAACTCCATGTATATCCAGTTATTAGAAAGATATAGATAGGAAGACATACTTCTTATAATCTAACCAAATAACTAAACGTCACGATTGTGCATGGAATCTTGAAAATTTCAACACTCATTCAGATGTATATGTGTGTGTAAGTTTGTATATATGTATCTGTGTTTTATTTATTCATGTATTTATGTATGTATCTGATTCTATGTAATTTTCTATCATAAAATATTTATTCGTTCATCTGTTTATGATTCTGTCATACTCTGTACAGAGAGAGAGAGAGAGAAAGAGAAGGAGAGAGAGAAAGAGAGAGAGAAGGAGAGAAAGAGAGAGAGAAAAAGAGAGAGAGAAGGAGAGAGAGAAGAGAGAGAGAAGGAGAGAGAGAAGGAGAGAGAGAGAAAGAGAGATAGAAGGAGAGAGAGAGAGAAGGAGAGAGAGAGAGAAGGAGAGAGAGAAAGAGATAGAGAAGAGAGAGAGAAGGAGAGAGAGAAAGAGAGAGAGAGAGAAAGAGAGATAGAAGGAGAGAGAGAGAGAAGGAGAGAGAGAGAGAAGGAGAAGAGAGAGAGAGAAAAAGAGAGAGAGAGAAGGAGAGAGAGAAAGAGATAGAGAAAGAGAAAGAGAGATAGAAGGAGAGAGAGAGAGAAGGAGAGAGAGAAAGAGATAGAGAAGAGAGAGAGAAGGAGAGAGAAGGAGAGAGAAGGAGAGAGAGAAAGAGAGATAGAAGGAGAGAGAGAGAGAAGGAGAGAGAGAAGGAGAGAGGAGAGGAGAGGGATAGAGAGAGAAAAAGGAATTTAATATAATACTTTAAAAATAAATGCATAAATAGTAAACTCTGATTCCAAGTAGAAGTATTGGTCGATTAAAAATAAAACAAACTCTGAGAACACTATAACCTCACCGGATAGAGCAAGTTTTCAACGACATGTCTACATAGTCACTGCCACTTTTATTCATTTTCGAGACGCTCTTAATTTTCACTGATGCCAAAAATCTAGCTCGTAACTCACATCGATGTTGTCGCTGGTGAAACGCATTAGCCACCATATAACTGTGATCAAATCCATTGTTTAGTTACAATAAATGTCCAGCAAGCGTTTTGTGATGTCAACTGGCACAAATGAATGACCCAGCTTTTGTTCGTAGTGATTTTCACTTTGCCAGCCACCCTATTAATAATAAGTCGGGAAAAAAACGAAGGAAAATGTGTTACTGACACGAAGAATCAATTTCTACACTCACAGCCTCGTCTGACACTTGGTATCAACCTAATAATATAAGACTCTTGCATATATACATACATACATACAGACGTGTGTGTATATCTGTGTGTATGAATGTGGTATGTTTCGTATGTCTCATGTGGTATGGTTTACTGAACAGATGGTAAAAATGTCTCAGGCATGCCGATTCTCTATTGGTAAAATATCCTTTCTTTATTTTCTTGTAATTGATTAAAGAAGAAAAATCAAATAAGAGAGATTACTTTTCCATAGATACATGCATACATACATACATAAATACATACATACAGATGTGTGTGTGTGTGTGTGTGTGTGTGTGTGTGTGTGTGTGTGTGTGTGTGTGTGTGTGTGACGAAAATCGTTTGGTTATATTTTCTTGAAGGGTTTCCGGTTAAAATGTTTAAGAGACGACGATGTCCGTTGGGTAAATGGAGTTCTTATTTGAGGAAATAAGTGTTAAGAAGAAGAAGAAGAAAAATCCCCAAATCAGACTGACCTTTAAGAATTTAATTGGTGAAGCACAATCAGAAAGTGTGACTTTTTTTTTTATATGATGAAGGTGTGTGTGTGGGGGGTAAAGATGTAATAAAGGAGAGGAAAAGAGAGACAAAGAGGAAGGAAGGAAAGACGAGTAAGAAAAGACTGAATTCTTAGAGTTTTTATTTTTATGTTATTATTGCAAAACGGTGAAATAGAGAGAGAGAAAGAGAGAGAGAGAGAGAGAGAGTTGTGAAGAAGAAGGAGAAGGCAGAGAAAGAGAGAGAGAGGGGGGAGCAGAGAGAACACAGGTAAAGGTCGTGGATTGTAGGTGGGTGAAAGGAAGCCGTTACGCGTTAAGTGTGAGGAGGTTTCGGCACTGCTTCTCCATTCCTTAACGAATCGCTGGGAAGCCGTTAAAAGGGGTCAGTATTAGGATTTAGAAACAAATAGACGCAGGCAGACACGCAACGAACGAGACACACGTACGCGCCATCAAGCAAGTTGGACCGGCAAGCAGGCAGTCAAGAAGCTAAGGGGTAAGGAAGGCGGTTGGTTGGATGACGAAGGGGGAATTGTATATGGAAATAATGTCCAGAGATCTCCTGTTGGCCGTCAGCGTTGGAATGCGCTTGTGGTTGCTGTGAGAAGGAGGATGGCGAAGGCAGGGAAATGAAGTCGAGCAGAGAGGTAGCGGAGCCGGAGAAGCAGGGATTGTAAGAAGAGGAAAAACTGTAGTCGTCATGGCCAGGTCTTAAACGATATCGCCCGCAGCTAATAAGGGTTGGGGATCACTGCCGCAATAGAAAGTCATAAACAAGAAGTTGGAGTAAATACAAGATCGTGCCCAAGGCCAGAATTTACCAGCGTCCTTTGCAGCATTTGCACACAGTTCTTTTATTTACTCGTCGTAGAGTCTCTCTTCAAAAAAAAATCAATTCTTTAGTACTTTTCCATTTCAAAAGAGCTAAAGATTTCAGAACACGCACACACACACACACACACACACACACACACACACACATATATATATATATATATATATATATATATATATATATATGATAAAATACATTTTTATGATATGCTATATTTATGGGTTAAAGTACTCAGTATCAGGGATAGAGTGTATGTAAATATAAAAGTGAACATTGAAGTCAACACCCAGAGGGGACATTGTGTTTCATGCTAAACGCAATCGTCAAGCCATATAAAGTATATATATATATATATATATATATATATATATATATAGTACATCTGTAAAAAGCCATATATTTCCGAGATCGAAACTCGACTGATTCGACATCAGTCGGTGACTTTGACTCCTAGGCTATCGACGCACTTGGTTAAAAAAGAACCGGCAAGATCTTTCTGCTTATTTTTTTTACCCTATTTTTCCATATGGCATTGAGTAATGTGCTCGAGATTGCGAATAAAACTGCCCAAAGTTCATATTTTGTTCAAGTTCTATAAACCATCTCAGTCATTATCAATAACCTAATGTTATGTATAGGTGGTAGTTAGAATTCCTTTGACCAGATCCTGGTATTATTTGGAAAGCCGAAAATTTTAAATCGTCTACGGTGACGACATTTATAGCGGTTATAGGGAAACCTTTTAATGCCAACGTGTTTCGTAACTTGAGAATCATTATTAAGTCAAACTCGGGCATTGTATTTATAAACCTGTATTTATACTGTTATGGTCCAATATCCTCGCACCACAGTTAAGGTTAGAACCAAGAAAGAACAACATGAACACAAGAGTAGAATAACAAAGATATATTACAACAGAAATATAGTACAAGAAGTTGAAGGTGTTAATAATGACTGTCCGTCTGGTTTAGAGTGAACTAATATTGTCTCGACTTGTTACACCATTCATTCATTATACCGCTTGAGAGGCGCAGTATTTATAATGTCAGGAAGAGTCCATTATCGTTATAGGTAAGTTCCCATAACATATACACAAAAGTAACGTGAAGAAAATTAAATCAAATGCTGTTTTCCAATTTTGAATTAGAGAATGCTATAAAATATACTAAAAACTAATATACTAAATATACTAAAAACTGAATGTGTAAAGGAATGGTATAATATAGAGTGTAACAAATGACATAATTTTTCAGAAATATATATATATATATATATATATAAAGATCAGTAAGATATATAATCCGGTGTTCTTATAGATATTTTATTTTTTACAAAATAGTACTCAACAAATTTACAGAGATTAATATTATAAATTAATTGATTGAATATAGCTTTTGCATACACAAAGTTCTGACCATGTTTCAAAAAATGGAAGCCAAAAGCCTGAATTTAATTTTAATGAATTAAAGATAGTAGTCTCCATTATTCTCGAATTTTGGAGTAACTTTAAAAATTGATTTTAGGTAACTTTTAAAATTACTGGGTTTTTAAAACACAGTAATTTTAAAAGTTACTCCAAAAATTCGCTTGAAAATGAAAATGGAACTAATGTCTTTAATTTAATTCTAAATTAGCTTTAGCTTCCATTTTTGAAGCTTACGGTTAGAACTGTGTAGCGAAAAAAAAACATATTTTAAATCAATTAATTTATTATATATATATATATATATATATATATATATATATATATATATATATATATATATATATATATATAATTTCATAGAAAATACGTGTCCTCCGACAGGAATCGAATCAGTATCCTACACGACACCGTGACGTGCTATAAACCATTTAGCTACAGAGGAAAGTGTCTGGTTAACAAGATAAAATTACTGTCTTTTAGACAAACATTCCCTCGAACGCTCATTTCTGCTCCAAGCATATCTTAACCTAAACAAATGATATTATGAAATTAAGTCCGACAATTATATATTATGTCATTTGTTCATTTTATGTCTTTCTAACAACTTTTGTCTAACCCTGTTCATATCTATCTACGATTTTTTGCCAAGCACTTCTCTAATGAAGGATTAAGTCAACAAATATATTGTTTGAGTGGTTTTTGATAGATACAACCACTCTTTGTTTCTACCTCACGAGAGAAGAGATTGATGATAAACTGCATTTACAACATTCCATGTAGATGTGTAGATAGTATAAAAAAATAACCTTATTGTCTCTAAAAAGTCAAACTGGAAAAGCATAGAAAAGTCATAGAGTGAATTAAAAAAAAAAAAAAGACTCTGGTTAGGTAGAAAAAATCCGGTGAGAGAAGATGTATTTGTCTCTTTGGTGGGACCGTTTGAATAAATAATAATAACAAAAAAACAAAACAAAACAAAAAAAACTAAACTAATAGAATTTCTCAAAAAAGGTTTAAAAATAAGTCATTTAGTCATCTTGACACCCTTCATCTTATTCAGTTAGAAGAGATGGCTGCCATTTTGGCGCCTCACCATGTCTTCTAACGAGCTAGATGAAACGAAAAAAAAACAGTTCAGGAGTTCGAATGTTACCAAATTCGCCCATAATTCATCTTTAAAAGTTTTTTTATAAACCATCAAGAGAACAGTGAATAAGTCATAAAAAATAGAGGATAGTAGATTAGAGAACTAGATCTGGAGGGACCATTTTCAAGTTCGAACAATAAGAATGAATATTGATTTAAATATATATATATATATATATATATATATATATAGTGGTTTTGGATTGAGAATCGGAAGCTTAGTAAAAATTCCAATATATGCTAATGCCCTTGGGATGCCTCTTCTTCTCCCTCCATGGTTGGGTAAATAGCAACTGGTCTCGGAATTACAAAATTGAGAGTGGTTTTGGGAGTTTGTGGCACATTTGGCACCAGGTCTCTGTACTTGTGGCCCTTCAGAAATTGGACTTACCTTCACCACTTTAAAGTTAGATGTTGTCAGACGAACATGGGTTTTTAAAACAGAGCATATTTTGTTGCTCAACAAGAATATAATCGAGATTCTTTGTTTATATATATAATAAAAAAAAAGAAGAAAGGAATTAAGATTAAGCATTATATACAAGTCTGTTATTGAAACGATAACTTATTTTAGATGTGTTTCTATTAAATTTTCTGTTCGTTAATTATTTGTGTCTTTTTTACTGTATGACAAAGAGAAACCGCCTTTTTTGGAAATACTGGTACTAAGCCAATTTAAGGCTGTAAATGTAAAAGAAAATGGAACAAGAAGAAAAACGACAAAAATATAAAAAAAATCTTTGAAAAAGAATGATTTCAATTGTCCGAACTGGTTTGACCAGCATATATTTAATATGTGTATCCATTGAGTTCATTTAATATGTGTATCCATTGAGTTCATTTAATATGTGTATCCATTGAGTTCATTTATTATTTCAAGAGACATATATACTTTTGTTTACTATTGTTCTTATTATATTGACAAAATAATAGGTTTTATTCATGTCCACAAGTTACAGCTTCTACCTATCTTTTGTATATGTCTAATGTATTACACGCTCGAACTTATTAACTAAACGTCAGTTTTCTCATTGTTTCAAAAAGAACGCAGTTATTTTTTGTTATATGTATCTACGTTGAAATTGTTTGCAGTTTTGCTGTAAATGTATTTTTTAAGTGTTGTTTATTTTTCGACAAGTTTTTCATCTGTTTCATTTAAATTTGTCAAAGCCATTTATGTGCTAAATTCTTATTAGAATTTTTTTTCAAAATTCTAAGCGTATGGATAAACACTTCCTCAGAAGTCTAATTTAGTTTTTTACCATTTGTGTTTTTTTTTACGAGAAAAAAAAATTTGATTTTTTGATTCGTGAACAAAATGAAGTTGTTGAGAAAATGTAGTAAAAAAAAAATTGATAATAAGAAATTAAAAAATCAAAGGTGTAAATTTTAAAAATATGATGATTGATATAATCGTTTATTTAGTTTTCCGTCTTGATTTTATTTTTATTTAAGTCTAATAAAAAAAATGAGAATAATAATAATAATGTATAGTCTTATCAGAGTGTCATGATGTGTATATTAGGATTAGTATATTAGTATCCTAGTATCATTTTTAGGGTGCTTTTCAAAAACTCAGTGGAGAAGATGTTTGTGTAAAAAATCTAAATTGAAAAAGTTTGAAAGTGTTTTATATGAATTTACACAAGGAACTGTTGTCTGCATCAGAGAGTTGTTATATTCACGATATGAAGGTCGGCAGTGCCCAGAAAACCTTCTTCAGGTGATATAAAATCGAAGGACAAAGGAAGTGTATGGTCATTTAGGATCCAGATTGACATGGACATGGTTTTAAAATTTTAATTAATCAAATTTAAGGAACCAAATTGAAAAATGAAGTCCCCAAAATGTGAGACAAAAATTGAACTAGATATTTCAGAAGACAAACAAGTGTATGGACATTTCAGAAGACAAACTTAAAGAATTCCAGATGATATGGACATGGTTAATAAAAAGGACTTATAAACCTAATGTCTCATTTTTTTTTTTTTTACCAGAGCCAACAAAAAAAATTACAATTGAAATTATTATATATATGGGTCAGGTCTTTATGATAGTGAGATGGGAAAATTTTCTATGCTGGGCCGGTTTGAACAACTGACCTATTAAGAAAAGTATTTCTTAAGATTTTGTATTTAGAAGCAGAACTATGAACGTTATCCCTCTTTCGAAATATCTAAGAGTTTGAGTGGATTCAAATAATTATTATAAATTGTGAAGCATGACCCTGATTTTTCAATTTTCCCTCGTATTTTGGCTTAACATCACTATAGAAGATTTTGTTTGATTGGATCA